GAATTTGTAGATAAATTTGGAGAGTATTGACATCATAACAATATCAAGTCTTCCAATCCGTGAAACATTAATTTAGTTTGGGTGTGTGCTAACTTGACTTGAATTCATTTTATTTGACAAGGACATCTGATAGGTCAGACGTCCACAGTTTACCAGAAAAACTGAGTTAATTGTCAAATGTTTCATTTTGAACTGTAGGGATAAAGTATATTTTTATTTTTGTAAAGGTAGGAGAAGAGGAAAAAAATAGAAGGATTTGCATAAATTGGTAGAGTCTACCAGTAATCATAGAGCTCATTAGGAAAAAGTTACATTTTGCATTATATGCTTTTCAAAGACATGTCCCCATTCAAAAACTTGTAATATAACACGTAATTATCTAAACATCTCTGAATTTATTTTATAGATCAGAAAGATCACAGAGTGATTTTTTTATGATGTTGAGTGTCTCAGAAATCTTTTGAATAACAGAGATACCTTTTAATGAATGCTTAAAGCAATTCTTCTTGACTTAAGAAAACTCAAGTCCATCCTTTCCCCCCAAATTTTGGTATTTTTACTGATAGGGTCAACAAACCTTGGAACAAACTGTACTAATTGCTTCTATGTTTTGTTATAGTTACAAACTTCCATTCCGATCTCTCTTCCTTAAACGTCAGGCAAGTTGATATTGCACTGTAACAATGACATTAGCTTAAATAAACAGCATACAACACTTGTTGCCAGCAGTGACATTAATAATTACAGGAATAGAATGAGAGAAGATTGTTGTGTAGTAATGACCCCTGCAAAAGATTGAGTTCCCTTGGCAGTATCAAGAGTTTGTCATGTTGGTGGTCATGGTGTTGCAATCCATTACCTCACTAAGAATCGATGACTCCAGCTATGGTAACTAGTCATAATATTTAATGTAATTTAATGTAGCTGCCTAGAGCCACTGGAAAACTTCAAAAAAATTTTCTGTCTAAGGCATTTACATCAAGTTTTCCCAGGAAAACCCTGTACCCCTAGGTCCATATTTTTGGGAGTTGTGTTTTACCTCTTTGTGTAGTTTCTCTGATTCCTCTCTACAAATGTTAGTGATATTTGTATACTAGAAATGAATATTTGTCTATTTGTCAGCCTACCTATCTACCTATTTATCCATCTATATTTCACCATGTTCTACAAAGGCTATCTTCCTTCCTTCCTTCCTTCCTTGCTTCCTTCCATCCTTCCCTCCTTCCTTCCTTCTTTCCTTCCATTCTTCCTTTCATTCTTTCATTTACTAATGCCATGATTTTTTATTAAATAGTTATTAAGTGCCAGGGACTGTTCCAGGCACTAGAAACAAGCAATGAGCAGAGAGGCTAGAGCTTAACTTCTGCTGAGGAAAGAAAGAAAATAAACAGGCTTGTTTTAGGTGGTGTAAGGTGCTCTAAGACAATGTGATAAACTTTTCCCCTTGAAAAACTGACACCTCTTTTCTTTACGAAGAAGACAATGTGATAGGCTGTGGAGTAGGACTACTTTAGATACAGGGATCAGGGGAGGCTTCTCTGAGGAGGTGACAAGTGAGCTGAGACCTGAATGATGAAAAAGAACCAGTCTTGGGGACTGGGAACACAACCTTGTAGGTAGAGGAAACAGTAAGTGCAAGTTATTTGACGCACCTTAAAATAATACACTCCATACAATGAAAAATTTGAAGCAGCTTAAAATAATACAGTCCATACAAAGAAAAAAATGCAAAAAGATGACAGTAGAAATGAGAAAAATGGAAGAGAGAGGACAGGAGAACATTGTATTGCTGGTGTGCAAGCCATAGAGTTCATTCAGCAAAGTTACGAAAGTTGAGCTGCAACTTTGGTTCCTATCTTCCTGGAAACCAAGGTGAAAAGGGAAACACGATTGGTTTCATGGGATGTCTTCTTCATAAGGAAAAGAGGTGTCAGTTTTTCAAGGGGAAAGAGATTTTTGTTTTGTTTTGTTTTGTTTTTGGCACCCAGGATGGAAATACATTTCTTGTGTGGACCTTTCTATAGTGGACCTTTCTATACTGGCCATAGTAGTCATCAGCTTTAGGATAATTTGTTACAACAGCCATAAAACTAGTATAATTAGATCCATTAAGGATGCAGTATTAGAAACTTGACCACTTGAACTAGCTTAAGCAAAGGAGAACTTAAACAAAAATCTTCAAATATAAAGATTTGAAATATTCCATGAAATTCTAGGAATGTAGCTCATTTCGAGAAATACTAGGATCAGGGATATGAAGCTGTCAGAACTCTTTTGGTCTCTTCTCTCGTCTCTTTGTGGATCTTTTTCATCCTTCCTGTTGTCTTCACTATATTCCTGCAGCCTGGTCTTCTGCATTTCTACAGGCCATGTGGTGGGAAGCAAGTCTATGGACAGCAAATGATTTTCTCTGTTTCTCTGTTAGCTACCTAGAGAAAAACTGAAATCTCTCAGTCCTAATTCCAAATTCCTGGGAGAGAGATATGATTGGCTCAGCTTGAGTCAGCTAGCTACTATGGGAGCAATTGACTGTAGTCTGGTGGCCTAGTTACCTTGTCTGAGGATCCAAGGCAGGTTTCCAGAAAAAGACATCTATTCTGCTGTTTTTAAAATACACTCATGTAGGGGTCAAGAAACCATTTAATGGGTTTAAACCAACATTAAAAAGAGATAAAAATATCAGGGTGCATAGCATGTGGTAGGGGTAATATTTTAGAAAATTTGTTTCAGTTATTAAAGGTATAGGTCCATGTGTATTGGGTGATAACATAACACATATTTCTGTGGGTGGATTATGGTCTAAAAAGTTTGAAAAGCCCTAAAATGGGCAGTCTGGTAAGATTCTGTTACAGAGACGTAATAAACAGCTTTCTTAAAATAATGTATTTTTTAATAGCATTTCTCAATATAAGCAGATGTCATAAGGGTAAAGCATGACTTAGTATAGACAATTTTGGAAGTGCGAAGACAAAGTAGTCTTTGTCTAGCTTTATTCGGGCTAAAATATAGCCTAGTGGTGTCCAACCTGGCTTTGTTCACAGTCACTTGAAGATCTCATAAAAATGATTTTAATGGGATCTGTCGAATCAGAATTCCTCTAAGTGTAACCTGTGAATCTATATTTAAACACAACAAATGTCTGATAGGTAGGCAAGTTTGGGACTCACTAACCCAGAGGGGTCATCTGCATACCTTTCAAATAATTCTCCTTAACTGCAGCTTCTCTCAACAGGGCTTTCCTCAAACATTAGGAAGTGAACAATTTGAATTTCTTTCTTGGTAAGGATCTGGAATGTAAGGCTTCATAGCTGCTGATTTTTTTTTTAATGTTTTATTTATTTCTAGGAGAGACAGAGAGACAGCGTGAGCAGGGGAGGGTCAGAGAGAGAGAGTCACAGACTCTGAAACAGGCTCCAGGCTCTGAGCTGGCAGTCAGCACAGAGCCCGACGCGGGGCTCGAACCCACTAACCGCGAGATCATGACCTGAGCCAAAGTCGGACGCTTAACCCACTAAGCCACCCGGGCGCCCCCATAGCTGCTGATTAAAAGCAAATAAATCCGTACACTTCACAGTTCAGTGAAGCAGATGGCAAAGTCCATCTCCTTTTGTTGGACTTTGTGGCACTAATGCTAGTGCTTGGTTGGGGCTGTGTTGAAGAGGAGGGGCAAAGAGAAAATTCTTGCAGGCTATTCCACATCCTTCTTGGACAATAGTTCTGTATTTCTCCAGAACAAAGTCTGGCCAAGACCCCCAAATTCTACAGTTAAGTATACGGTAGGGATTGTTTGCACTTGGAAAATTTGCAAAACTGAAGTGCCAAGTTACCCACCTTGGCCATTTTGAGTTTTCTGATGAATCCGACAGCGTGAACCAGTTGCCCAAGTTACCCACGGCTTCTCAGCAATAAAATGAATGGACCTGTTGTACCAATTTATTGTATTAATCACATGAATTTTATAGGGTATCTGCCTGAAATAATTAGGCCAGTGTTAGCAGAGTTGCATTTCATCTCCACAACCGCTGGAGAGCAAGGCCCTTGTCCACAGAAGCCATTCCTTTTTTTTTTTTTTTTTAAATATTTTTTTATTTATTTCTAGGAGAGAGAGAGAGAGAGAGCGTGAGCAGGGGAGGGTCAGAGAGAGAGGGAGATACAGACTCTGAAATAGGCTCCAGGCTCTGAGCTGGCAGTCAGCACAGAGCCCGACGCGGGGCTCGAACCCACGAACCGCGAGATCATGACCTAAGCGAAAGTCGGACGCTTAACTGACTAAGCCACCCAGGCGCCCCCACAGAAGCCATTCCTAATGGCAGGTCAAGACATACATTAGCGTGCAGCTGGAGCCCAGATTTCCAGCCACTATTGCAGAGGGCTTGCTTTCAGATGGTTCCACAGAGGTTTGTGGCTACACTTATTTCTGGGAATTGTCATCTTGTCTGTGAGAGGCGTTCGCGCCCATCTGAGGGGACACGCACACTTCACCCAGGCCTCTGCGTAGCGCTGACAGCGGGTTCACGTTTCCGTGTTTGGGGACCGGCTCCGCACACACCGCAGGGCAACGCGTGCAGTCCCGGCCGCCACTGGCTGGCCGCTGCCGCCCGCGCTCTGCCTGGGTATCATGTTGACACTGTTAGCGGGCTCTCATTTCGTGTGATGTTCGGTTGCTTCTCTGTCCCCGAGCCAGGGTTCTGTGGCCCGTGCTTGGGAGGGCTGCTCGTGGGGCCCGCTGGCGCCTCCTCCCCGGTGCAGCCGCTGGGCGAAGGGGCTTCGCTGCTGCAGACTCGCCGTGTCCCCGCGCGGCCCCCGTCCACCTCCCCGCGGCCTCCACGCCGACCGAAAAGGTTCTCACGGGCGGAATTCCGGGCTCCGCGACCCCCAGCGCCGAGGGCGCGCGCCCCTGGGGTGGCCGGCCGGCCCGCGGGGCCTGGTGAGTGTCCCCCACCCCCCAGTCGCAGCGCCCCAGGGTCCCGGCCGTTGCTGTGGCAACGCGCCGGCAAACGGGCCGCAGGGCCTCCCGCTGCGGGCGGGCCCGCCTCGCCAGTCAGTGTCTCTGGGGGCCCAGCCGTTGGGACCTCGTATCCTCCGGGTCCGGTGTTCAGGGTGGTCCCGCTCTGCCCCGTTTCAGCTCCACCTTCTCACCTCCACCCATCCTGGGACCTGACCCTTTTTGGAAGTTTAAGGTGAACTTACTGTAGGGTAAGTGTGATTTGGAAAAAGGAACACATCCTTAACATTTGACATTGCGCCTTCTCCCCCGCCCCCCACGTTTCCCTCTTTTTTAATCTCCTAGCGCCTGGCTCCTATTAGGGCCTCAATATGTGGGACTTCTTTCAGCACTTGATGCAGTCCCTTGCACACAGTGGATGCAATCCGAGGAGCTAGTATGGCTTAAGAGCAGCCCCTTACTGGCTACGTGGGTAGGAAATTTAAGCACTCTTCTCTCATTCCTCATCTGTCAGTGCAGGTTGTAATTTCTCTCAAAGTTGTGGGCTTGAAAAAGCCTGTGTGTGAAACTGCTTTGTGAACCGTGAATGTAAAGCACTTCGGAGTTCGTCCTAAGAGATTTTTGCATACTGCAAGTGGTTTGATACTCCTGGTCCCACAGCACCAGCTAAGACAGTCCTTTTTTGTTCGACCACCAAACAGCTCCAATATCCAACCAGAAAATAGGGTTGCCATGCATTGGAGGAGGGCTCTGTGAATGCAAAAAGAAACACCAACACATTCTGAACCTAAACTTCCTCCTTGCGTAATGCATTCTCCCTGCCCCTCCTTCCCTGGGCTTCACATTACAACCGGTATGCAGATATTTCATTTCACACATTTAAATTTCTAGCCCAACATTGAAATCTAGAGATTTAAAGCTCTAGCGTTTTTATCTCAATGAATCACACCATCATCCCCTCCAGTTTGCAGGCCAGGAATCTTAGACTCTTTCTTCACACCTGCCACTTCCTCTCCTTCCATCTCTAAATTATCATCAAACCAATGATCATCTGTTCATTTTATCCTCAAACCAATCCTCAATCCACTTATTTCTGTCCCTACCACTGGTACCCTACACCAAGCTACCATTATCTCTTGCCTGGTCTCCTCACTAGTCCAAAGGCATTTATCCCATCCTGTTCATGTTCCTATCTGTTCTTTGCACTGCAGCAAGAGTAATCTTTTAAAAATTAAAATTTGATTATGATACCTCATTTCTCCTCCATCGCCCCCTGCTTAAAACCTGTCAAGACTTTTTGTTCTTAGGATAAAGATATAATTTCTTTTATTTTTTAATGTTTATTTATTTTAGAGAGAGAGAGAGACAGAGCTTGAGGTGAGGAGGGGCAGAGAGGGGGAGACACAGAATCCGAAGCAGGCTCCAGGCTCTGAGCTGTCAGCACAGAGCCTGACGCAGGGCTCAAACTCATGAACTGTGAGATCATGACCTGAGGTGAAGTCGGACGCTTAACCAGCTGAGCCACCCAGGCTCCCCAAAGATACAATTTCTTAATATGGCCTACAAATTGGGTACTGTATACTATAACATCCAGATCAAGATAGTTTTGAGAGTAAAAGACAGTGCTATTATTTACACTGGGACTGTTCCCTAGCATTCTGGGGCAGATGGCTACTCGACCTATAAGGCCCTGTGGCATCTTCATTTCTCCAGCCAGATCTTACACTAGCCTCCCCTGGTTCTCTGTGTTCCAATTTCACTGGCTCTTTTCCAGTCCTTTGTCACCATTTTCCCTCCTACTAAGGGCCTTTGCACGTGATCTTCTCCCTGCCAGGTGTGCTCTTCCCTCTTCTCTTTGGTCTAGTTAACTCTTGCTCATCCTTTGCATCTTAGACCAAATGCTTCCCCAGGAAAACTGCCTCTGACCACTCCATCTAGGACAGACCCCCTTCGGGTATAGGCTCTTCTGACACCGGCTCTCTGTCCTTGCACTTATCACAATTGCAGTATTATTTGTCTCTGTGACTGGCACCTAGGATGTAGTTAGTGAATACTTGAATGTCTGACTTATAAGCATTTCCATTGTCATTAGTCTCTGAAAACATCACATCATGGTTAAGAGCACAGACTGCAGAGGTACACAGATGGGATGCTTGGATTTGAATTTCAGACACCCCACAATTCCTTATCTGAAATCTGTGGGGCTAGTTGTATTTTAAAGTTAAGAGTGTGTGTGATTATAGAAAGATAACATGGTGTGTATACTGTACCACTTCTAAGTGGGGTCTGGGGCAGCACTGTGTAATCAAACACATTAATTTTTCTTTAGTGAGATGACATCACTCTAAGTGGGATAAAGGCTGTACGTAGGTTTGCATCTGTTCAGGTCAGGTTTTGCCAACAAATGAGTTTGCTACAAATTTTTGAGAACACTGTTTGGATTTTAGGCTTTCATGTGAGTCTGTTACAGCATAACCTTGAGGTAATCACTTAACTTCTCGGTGCCTGAGATTCCTCAACGGTAAAATGAAGAGGGTTATAGCACCTGCCGACCTGACAAGTTCCATTTATGTTTTTGTGAGGAATATGTGTGTTACTGTGAGCTGGTCCTTGAACAATGTGGGGTTTAGGGGCACCAATCCCCCACACAGTCAAAAATCCATGTATAGCTTTTGACTCCCCCAAGTGTAACTACTAATAGGCTACAGTTGATCAGAGACCTTACCGATAACATAAACAACATGTATTTTGTATGTTAGATATATTATATACTGTATTCTTACAATAAAACAAGCTGGAGAAAATATTATTAACAAAATCGTAAGGAGAGAAAATACATCTATAGGACTGTACTCTATTTATTGGAAAACATCCACATGTAAGTGGTTCCACACAGTTCAAACCTGTGTTGTTCAAAGGTCAGCTGTACATGTTATTGGCTTAGAACAGTGAATGCGCCTGGGTGGCTCAGTCAGTTAAGCATCTGACTTCAGCTCGGGTCATGATATTGTGGTTTGTGGGTTCAAGCCTCACATCAGGCTCTGTGCTGACAGCTCAGAGCCTGGAGCCTGCTTCAGATTCTCCATCACCCTCTCTCTCTGCCCCTCCCCCACTCGTGCTCTGTCTCTGTCTCAAAAATAAACATTAAAAAAATATTTAAAAAAAGAACAGTGAATGGTCTTTAGTCATTGATATAGTAGGGTCAGCTCTTATATCATTTTATTAACTTCATTACAATCCACATTGTTTATCAGCTGTAATTTATTTACAATTTACTTATTGTTGGATATTTATATTTCATGTACAAATATATGAAGAAATGGACGTCTTTATATTTAAATATTTTGACTAGATTTTTGATAACTGATTAAGATCAGTTCCTAAAAATGCAATTACAGTCGAAGTGCAGGGTCATTGGGACTACTCTTGAAACATATGGCCGCTTTCAGAAAGATTATACCAGGTCACCATCCCATCCTACCATCAGTTTTGTGACGCCTGTGTTTGCATTATTATTTTTTTAAAAATCTTTGCTAATTTCACAGGTAAAAATAGTACCTCCTTATTTTGACTCAGATCTTTCATTACTGAGGTTTTAAGCATTAAAAAAATCTCATTGTTAGCTACTGGATATTTCTTTTCTGTGAATTACCTGCACAGACTCTATGATGGCTTTTGTATTGGAGTCTCAGTTTTTTAAATTCAATGGTTTGTTTGATTTCTGCTTCCCGCAGCCCAGGCAGGAGCCAGTATGCTGGGCTTTGGCTGGAATTAGTTGGATAGGTATCCCTGGAGCCTGGGGCGAGTTGTTACTTGCCCTCAAGCTACAGAGCAAAGTGGAAAGCAGGGTTTCAGAGGCTGTTTCTCAGGGAAAATCTGAAATCAAGACCAAGCTGACCTGTGTTTATCTGAATCTTCAGTCTAACAGGACTTGGAAGAAAGAGGGCTCACAGGAGGTAGGAGGCAAAGGACTGAGGCAGAGGAAGGAAGCAGAGTGATTCTGAAAGCCGGGAGAGAGAAGCTGTAACCTCTTTTTTGTAGGGACCCTATAATTTCTTTTATGGATGAAGAGGGGGAATATTGAGGGTACCATCTTGACCAGACACTAAGTTGTGTGGACTCTTGATAGAATAAGGACATTATTCTATCCCTTCTTTGTCATATGGGAATGTCCCCAACTGCCATTTTGCTTAATTAATGATGGTTTTTGATTTCTAGAAATTGAAATAATTCTGTGTTGTCTACCTATTAATCTTTACCTTTTTGATTCATTGCCTTTATGCTTATAAAGCCCTTTCCATGCAGAGACCAAATAACTGTCTGCATTTTCTTTAAAAATGGTAGTTTGTGATGTCAGTCAAGGAAGGGTTCATGGAAGTGACTAAAAGACAGTTGAGTAGTGTGATTTCCAATCAAAATGTAAAAGATGCTGATACAAAGGGAGATACTCATGTCATCTTCATGTCCCCTTGAAGATAGAGCTTACGTGCTACAAGCGAACTCTGAGGAAGACTTTTTCTGATGGGGTCTGTCACACATTGTGAACTTGGATAGTTGGGTCCTTAGATACTTTTTGGAAGTGTCCTGAAAGGAGAAGATGTGATCTCTGAAGATTCTGTCTCCTTCTTTTGCCCTAAATATGATCCAATTTAGTATTTCAAGCACTCATAGTTGTTAGATACTGAGAAATGATTTCCCTGTTTTTAAAAGAGGCTTAAGAGAAAGGAAAATGTAATGTAATATTAATTGCTGACCTTCTTGGCACTGGTAAATTAGTATATTTTAAGAGGTGCTTCCAAAAGACTTTTCCTACCTGCTGAGCTCTAGTATGGATCAATGAGGCAAATTGTGTTTAGCTCAGATTTGTCTTATGGCTCCAGAATGTGAAGAGTGGATAACTTACTGTTAAACCTTATTGATCTATTCTTTCTTAGTTTATTAACTAAAATAAATTGTGGAGTATGAGAAACTAGTCACTTCACAAACTCACGCAGTTTTGTTGACCTGAAGTTCTTTTTCTTTTTGACCTGAAATTATTCCAGAAAGGTTTATTTTTAATTTTTTAAATGTTTATTTATTTTTGAGAGAGAGAAAGAGAAAGAGAGAGAGAGAGTGAGTGGGGGAGAGGCAGATAGCGAGGGAGACAGAATTGGAAGCAGGCTCCAGGCTCCTGAGCTGTCAGCACAGAGCCTGTTGCAGGGCTCCAACTCACAAACCATGAGATCGTGACCTGAGCTGAAGTCAGACACTT